GTGTGTGTGTGTGTGTGTGTGTGTGTGTGTGTGTGCGTATTCATAGATGGGAGAGGATGAGAACAGATAAGGTTATACATATAAACAATTATTTCTATAAATTTCTTGCCATTTCAATAAAATGTTTTCAGATCATAGTATTTCCTACCATAAGAAGTCCTTGAAAGGCAACCAAAATTAACAAATCTACTGAAGAATTCAATTTTCAACATATACAAGTGTTTGGACCAATAGTGCTAAATTATACCTATAATAAGTTAGATGGCTAATTACATGAGATTTAATGAAATAGTTTTCAGTATTACTAAAAATAAATGTTTATATACACTTTTGAGTAGCCTTTTCATACTCTGCAAACCACTCTGAAAACATAGCATAAAATTAATAAAAGATATGTGGGCATACTACCATAGGAATATTAGCATTTCAAAAGTAATCTAAATATCATTGACTAAAGACACATACTTAAATAGGAAAATAATTTTGAAAGTTATGGAATAACCAAGCCACGAGGTATTATGAATTATGATTATATATTTATTAAAATTCTGTAATATGTTATTATATAAACAGCACTTCAAAATCATAGTTATCCTGTAAACATACATGTGAACATACCTCTGTGTTGTAGATGTGCTTATATTGGAATCAGATGTGGGGTGTGTATATGTGTGTTTGTATGTGAGAGAGAGAGCGAGAGAAAGAGAGAGAGAGAGAGTTTAGCACTGAAGATAAAAAGGAAGGGTATCTTTGAACAAACTGGCAAATTGAAGTTATACCTCATGTTGCTCCCTTTGTTATTGCCCTGTGTGCACGCACATTACACATCTGTGCACACATGCATAACCATGTACATCACTTATGTGGAAATGTACATAGAAGAATATTTAATAAACTATGGGCAAAAGATAAAAAGTATACATGACTGAATCAAGAATCAAGAAATTACACAGGAATGAATGATGATTAAATTTCATATTTAATTATAGGATTTTTAAAAATGAAAATCACAGAATGCATTCTGGTTGTTAGCCATTACTGAAATAAAACAAGAAATTTATAATGTACTTTCCATTTGGGATACATGAAAATGAAAATGTAACTAATGATCTTCCATACATTACAGCAAAAGTGAGTTCCTTTCCTCACATGGAGAAATTTGAACTGGGTCTTAAAGGATTGAGAAAACTACAGGATAGTTCAGAGATAGTATTCCTGCTATTAAGGAAGGGTGAAGAATGGAGGTCTGTAGATAGAACAGGACATGCTGTTTGCTCACACTCCAGAGCAGAGTCCCATCCATCCATCTGAAAGCCTACCCAGTTTCAGACTGGAAGGAAACAGAGCTGATAGGAGCGGGGCAATGAGCCTACCCCCGTGTGAACTGGACTGATATCAAGATCTTTTGGATCAACCAGTGGTTTCAAGGTAAAATGCTGTAAAACGGTAGTCATGATTATAAATAGCTCCATGCGGGCCAAACCTTCTCCCATACAAGCTCTTTTTCCTGAAAAAGACATGAAAATTGTGTAGTCAATTAATTCTGACTCTAGGTTAACACACATAATATATGTAGTAATGAATAACTAATTAATATGTACTAATTAACCTACAACATCCTCTGTGCATAACCCTGATTCCTTTCTTCAACACAAATTTCTTTTCTTTTCATTTTAGATTCTCTGAGTATTTTTACATTTATTAATTAATTTATTTTTTGACTATCTTGGGGCTGGAGAGATGGCTCAGAGGTTAAGAGCACTGGCTGTTCTTTTAGAAGACATGGGTTTGAAGCCCAGCACCCACATGGTGGCTAACAACCATTCCAGGAGATTTGATGCCCTCTTCTGACCTCCATGGGAATTACATGACATGGGTGCACTTACATACATGCAGGTAATACACTCATACATTTAAAATAAAAATAGCAAATAAAAGTATTTTTTAAAAATAAAAAAATTATTTGACAATTTATATATGTATATAATGTACCCTCTCTTTCCCTCCTGTTCCACCCCTTAACTGTCCCCCATATCATCTTCAAACCAAGTCCTGATCTCATTTTCATGTCTGTGTTTTTTGTTCTGTTTTTACTTTGTGGCCCACAGGATTTAACTAGGGCAGTCATATAGGCATGCATGTGAAGCTGTGCACTGGAGCATGAGCATCCCAACAGTGGTTATGTCACTGAAGACAATGGCTTCCTCTTGTCCACTAGCCCTCAAATGCATTAGCTCTCCTATGTGTGGTGGGATGCGATGATTCCTTCTCCCAAGTATGACAGAATGTTCACTGGTTCAGTCTTGCGTAGGCCACTGCAGCTGTTGTGAGAACCTAAGTGCCACAGCCATGTCATGCCCATAGGACAGAATTTCACAGTCCTCTTCCCCGTTACTCAGCTCTTATATTCTTCCCACTTCTTGTTCGGCTATGAACCCTGAGCCTTTGCATTGAAGATACGGGCGATACACTGTTGAACTCCTCAGCACAAATTTCTATGTGCACGCTGTATGAGAAATCTTTCTGAGCAAATATGTTGAGACTGTTGTGCTGAGGGCTGGCAGTAACATTTTTGTGTACACACACACACACACACACACACACACACACACACACACCACACACCTATCCCAACTGGCAAGGTACACAAGTGTCTTTTCTTCTGTCCCTGACTTAGATCTCAGTAGATTTATTTCTTCTGATATGAATTCTAAGAGATAATCTCAATCATGTCATATATTTGCTAGAATTTAAAGTCTATAGCCGTTCACTGACAAATACAAAACAAATGTTACACATGGGGCTACAAGGGATTCCTGGAATAAAACTTCTAGCTTCCTCTCCCCACTAATACCTAGGGCATTAGGTATTCAACTTCACACTTGAATCCAGCCACTCCTCTAATGTCATACATTCTATGTAAATACCTTTAACATCCTCAGGATATAAAATTAACTGTATAATTGTTTTCTACCATGCTCATTAATGCTTCTAGTAGAGTACATTTCACATAAAATTTAAATTAATTGTCTAAAAGATTATATTGCAAGTTCTAAAGACAAAGCCTGAGCTCTTTTAATGATGCCGACAGCATTAGGACAAAGCAAGCCTCAGGACATTAGAAATTGGTAAGAAAATCAAGTGATACTAGATTCCAAAATTAATACAGCAAATAAGATAGGGAATAGACAGCAGGGGTGGTTTGACATCTTCCCTAAGCATTGGACACAGTTTTGGATCCGCAGCACCAAGCTTTGCTCAATACATATTTTCTTACATAACTGGGAGCAAATTTATTATATCCATTTCTGTTAACACTTTAGGAAAGGACCTTCAGCCTAGACTCCTCCTCTTCTCTGAAGTATGGTGAGAATTCTTTTCTCCTTTTTCCCATATCTATTTTCCCTTTGATCTTTTTGCGGCCCATATGCAGGAAACTGGCCCCTGTGGACTGTATCGATCCAGGAGTCAGTTCCCTTCAGGCTTCTGAATAAACCTGGAGGGTTGGCTATAGAAAAGTTTATTTATTATCTTGATCTAACCCTGCCCAGCCCCGGCTTGGGAAGCTGGCTGTGTTCCTCTGTGAATACATGTGTTTTCTGCAGAGGAAATATTGTCTTAGCTAAAGAAGTTGCAGTAACACCCAGGTCCTGGTCCATGGCAGCCTTCCTGCCAATGTTGGCCTTGGATATTTTGTACACTTTGTCCTCTGAAAACTGTCTCTTCATTAAAACCTTTAATTATCCTTTAGAGTGTTCCAAATGTTTTTCTTCTGAACCTTTTTCAAATTGAGAGAAGATACTTAAATGTTACTGCCTGCAAGAAAATTTCCATTACAGTCTAAGTACTCTGCCTAATTTCCTTAAAAAATTGCCAGAGTTGCAATCTACCCCTTCTAGGGTCCTGTAGAAGACTCTGGCATGGTATAATGCAAACTATAGTATCTTTGCCTATTAATGTACATCTTCTCTTTATTTCTTTTACTCATTGTATCCCTGGATCTGAGCAATAGATTGCTATACATAAAGGCTAAGTAAGTTTACAGAGTGACCTGCCCCTCAGAGTAGAGAAAGGCCTAGGTAGAATGGGAATTCTTCTAGGAAGAGCTCTTGAGAAGCTCAGCACTGGGTCAAGAGGCAGCATCAGTGGGTGGAGCCTCTAATCCAGTGAGAAACAGCCTTCCCCTTGGGAGTGCTGCCTCTGGCCTCAAGGAGCTGGCAATCCATCTAGCTCAGACTAGCCTCCATGCACAGCTCTTGTCACCCCACTTGACCCTAACACACATGAAAACCAAGTTTGCTTGCCTGTTGAGAAAGGCATGAAGTAGTCACTCTTCCTGAAGTTGCCCTTCTCATCCAGAAAGTGGCCGGGGTCAAACTTCTCTGGGTGCGGAAACTCTTTGTCATCAAACAGGACAGAAGTCAGAGATGTCATTACACTTGTGCCCTGATGGAAAGAGAAGCAGATAAAGCAGACCATGGAGTTAACAGAACCTGAAAAATGGGCGTACACTACTCATCCAGTCCTTTTGGTCTTTGGATGAGCAGACTGAGGCAGAGAAATGAAAATTCATTGTTCCACATCACAGAACACATTAACGACCGAGCAAAACAGGTCTTACATCATGTAATTTTGGGATATAAATAATACACTATTACTACGCAGAAGATAAAATTTTCAAGTGTAAATCTGAGGACTGCTAGCTAGTATTCTGAATGGCCTCTCTAAACAGATGATATTGGCCTTGGTCCATACATCTATAGATTAAATCTGTGAACTGTCTTCTCCTTGTGGACATACAAAGGAGAAACCGAAGTTTCAGTCCCTTTCAAGCCTCTTCCCTGTAGCACAGTCACTGTGTGAACTCAGAGCTTGCCCTCAGCATGAGGTACATAAAAATACAGTGTGAAACCCAGAGTGGGCTTCCAGAGATAGTTAATTTGTGGCAAAACACTTCTTTTCAGGGGGATGGATTCTGGCTCTGGAAAAGTGACTGCTTGATCCCTGAATTAAATAAAAATAAATCTGGAAATGATAAATGCAACAACCAAAGGCAATCCAGAATTATGATATTTTATTAAAGAGTACCTACAATTAGAGTGAATTTATGCTTGAAAGTAATTTCCTTTCACCTCCCATGCTCATGGATCAGTAGGATTAGTACTGTAAAAATGACCATCCTACCAAAATCAATCAACAAATTCAATTCAATACCCATTAAAATACCAACACAATTCTTCAAAGAAATTGAAAAAATAAACTCAAATTTCATATGGAAATTACAGAATTGCAGTAATAAAAACAGCATGGTACTGGCATAAAAAGAGACACATTAATCAATGGAATAGAATTGAGGATCTGGATTTAAATCCATGCATTTATGGATTTTTGACAAAAGAGCCACAAATGCACAATGGAGAAAGGAAGATGTTCCACAAATGGTGCTGGTTAAACTGGATAACAGCAGGTAGAAGAGTGAAACTAGATTCCTATTTGTTACCATGCACACAACTCAACTCTAAATAAATAGGTCAAGGACTTAAATATAAGACCTGATACTCTGAATCAGATAAATAGGCACAGGAAAGGACTTTCTGAAGAGGACTTCTATAACACAAGCATTAAGTTCAACAATTGATAAATGGGATCTCATGAAACTAAACAGTTTCTGTATAGCAAAGGACATGCTTATTCAAGTAAAGAAGCAACCTGCAGAACTGTAAAAAAATCTTTACCAGCTATACCTCTGATAGGGTTAGTATCTATAATATACAAAAAACTTAAAAAAATTTAAACATCAAAAAATCAAACAACTCAAAATTGGGGCAAGAAGATGAACAGGGAGTTCTCTAAAGATGAAACACAAATGGCTGATAAAGACTTTTAAAAAATATTTTTATCTTGGGGCTGGAGAAATGGCTCAGCGGTTAAGAACACTGACTGTTCTTGCAGAAGACTGAGGTTCAAATCCCAGCACCCACATGGCAGCTAACAACTGTCTGTAACTCCAGTTCAGGGGCTCCAACAGTCTCTCTGTCCTTCGTGGGCATTGCACGACATGGGTACATTTACCTACATGCAGGCAAATCACTTATATACATAAGATAAAAATAATAAATAAAATATTAAGAAAATGTTTTTATCTTTAGTCATCAGGGAAACGCAAATTAAAACCACTTTGAGATTTTATCTTACCCTACTCAGAATGGTTAAGATCCAAAAAACAAACAACAAGAAATGTTGGCAAGGATGGGGGAAAAGGGGAACTCTTACCACTCCTGGTGGTAGTAAAAACTGGTGCAACCATTTTGGAGACTAGTTTGAGATTCCTCAAAAAATTAGAAATTGATCAACTATATGATTCAGCCATACCAGTGTTGGACATATACCCAAAAAACTATATCATACTACAGAGATACCTGTTCATTAATGTTCAATTCTGCCCTTTTATAATAGCCAGAAATTGGAAAAAACCTAGATGTTCATCAAGTGATGAGTGGATAATGAAGGTGTGGTACATGTACACAATGAATATTATTCAGCTCTTAAAAAACTCTCAAATTACAAAATTCACAAGTAGTTGGATGGACCTGGAAGCAATCATACTCAGTGAGGCAATCCAGACTTAGGGAGACAAACATTGCATGTTTTCTCTCATAGTGGGCTGCTAGCTTTGAAATCTTAGATATGCATGTTTCAGTTTCAAAATACAGTGAACTCAAGAAACTAATAAATGATCATGCGGTATGGGGAGACTTCTTCTGAGGGGAGGTAGTATGCAATGCTATAAAATGGGAAAGGAAAATAATATAAGGAAAATAATATAGTAAGATGCATTAAAGGGGGCAGGCAGTGGGAGGGCAGGATAGAGGAGGAGATACAGAGAGGAAAAACTTACACCAAGGCCTTTAGAAAAGACATATTGAAACCTACCACCATAGAAGCTACTCTCTCTTTCTATATGCATATATTATAAAAAGAATAAAAAGAATTATAACAGTGGGCTATTGCTCCTACTAGACACTAGTGGCTAGTAAAATAAGAGCCCAATACCAGGAATGGACTCAGTCATTTGAAGCTGTTGACCATTGGTCCCATAGACATTCAAACAATACGGGTCATTGCCCCTGATCTTAGTTACCCACCAGAACTTCATGGTAAGACTCTATTGCTGAATATACTACATATATGAACTGTAGAAGAAACAAGGAGAAATCAACTTGATGCTGACTTCAAAGCATCATTCCTACTGTCTGACTTTCCTGGTGCTGGAAGTTACAGTGCAAGCTACCCGAAGAGAAAATTTATCATAAATCTTACCCAGCTGTGAATCCTGTGAGCTACAAACAACTGGACTAGCAAGATATGCTCACTAGTGCAGTAGTGATACAAATAATATACGGGTAACCAATTACTTTCTAATTGGATTTAAGTTTTGCTTCATAGAATACAGCCTGTAACTGACATTGATATCAGACCTAAAAACCTGAGGCTAGACAGCCCACAGGCCATGGGAGAGAAACTAATATAATTATTCTGATAAATATAGTATTAAACTGATTTATAATGACATTGTTATACCCATAGATTAGTGCATCTCTCAACTCTCAGTAGAGATGCACCCTTAAACAGCAGATGGTGATTAACACAGAAAACCACAATTGGTCAATGTAAAGAGAATCAGAGGCTATAGACTACTTATTCCCGAATAGGACAACTGTGTGAAACTTCTGCCCCTAAGGCTCAGGAATCATTATGGGAAAAGGGTGGAAAGATTCTAAGAGCCAGGTGGTAGATGACCACAGCGAAACAGTTTTCCAAACAGCTGGGCAGTTACTCAGAGGAATTCATAGGAATGGTGACAGAATGCACAAGCCATATAAGTTCAAGCCAGACAAAATCCCAGCACAGGCTTGGAAGTGGGTAAGAAACCCCAAGCCTACCTGAGGAACTATTGGCAACTAATGACTGCAGGGAAGGGGAGATTCAGTCGCCTTTAAGGGTGAGATTCTTGGTAGATTGACCAGACTCCTGTGGATGAACAACGCCAAAGGGCATTTGGGGACACAGACCTGACTCTATAGGTCTTAAGATTTTATATATATGTACAGAAATTTGATGGGGAGTTAGTAAGGCTGGGTGCAGATACGAGAGGCAAATCTAAATATCATCAAAATATATGGTATAAAACTCGCAAAAATCCAGTAAAAAGAAAACAATTGAAAAAAAGAAAATCCTTTCCTTTTACAGCACAAGGTAATGAGAGCCAAGCAAAGCAATATTACGTTTGGGCTAAGGAGAGCAAGATAAATCTTGCCACCTGTTTTAAAGAATAAAAGGCATCTTTACAGTTTCAGTGGCAAGGAAGCTGACATGAATTATTTTTCAGAAGAGTGTTATTAGAAGAGTTACAGCATCACAGCCACAGACAGTCATGATCGGGCCTTGAGGAGAGAGCCTTCTGATCCAAAATCCTTTCTTTCATAGGTTTCTAGAGGAGGTGGTGCTCTAACATAATATATGGCTTAACAAGGAATATGTGATCTCAAGACACTACAGTTTAGAGGCACTAGATAAGAAGTAAGGATATAATTCAAGGTCACCTTGACTGCACAGGTTTTGGTTTGCTTGATGCTGCAAGGTGAGGTGCTACAAGGTCACAGTGGACTTTGCTTATGAACTCTCTGTCTGGGAGAGAGCTGTGAGTGAACATGGCCTGATTTCTGGAAGAGAGAGTGTGTATCTGCAGCCTAATAGCACCTAGAATGCGTAACAGGGTACAAGAGAGGAAGAACTTAAAACCATGGTAAATCTCAAAAGTATGCTAACATATTCTCTGTAAGTCTTTGGGTACAGGTTTGGTGAAATATGCAGGAAAAAACTAATGACACGGTAACAGTACAACAGCTCAGAAGCTGAGAGCTTAGAGACACACACTACTACTGAACACTAACCCCAGAAATTATCCAGTGACAAGAGAAGCTAAAGTCTCTACCCAGAGTAGAGAGACCATGCTCCGATCCTCAGATTTTATGTGCTAACACCCCAAATTCCAAACAACTGGCAAAGGTTCCCTTTCTGAGATAAGGTCCATGCAAAAGATTATATAGGACTGAAATCATGCCACCATGGCAAGAATAATACTAACAGAATGAAAAACATCTGTTAGTAGTAGTTCAACTGCCTGCCGATATAACAACACCCTAAAAGGAAGGCAGCATAATGTACTCCCCTCCAGGCATCATTCAAAATTCTTAACAAACATACAAAACTACTGGACATGAAAAAGAAGGAATATGGCCCATAATTAAAGAAAAAATAGCAGTCAATGTAAATAGCCCTTATGATAGCCTAGATTTAGAATGATTGTACATGAACTTCAAAATACAGCTATTATGAATATACCTGTCTAATTAAAGCAATAATTGAAAAATAATGTATGATAGCTATTGAATACCTATGAATTGAGATTTTATTAATATATACAAATAATATATCAAATATTAATAAATGGAAAGTAGAAAAAGAAAAAAAGAAAAAAAGAATGAAATAAATGGAAACTAGAAAAATAAATTCTAGAATTTCAAAGAGCAAATATAATGTCGTTAGATGAAATTAGAAGCATTAGAAGACCACATATAAAAACATCAGTGAGTTTAAAGACATATAAGTGGTGTGAAAGTTGAGAAACCAGTTAGATGCTCTCCAGTCTAAATACACACACATGCTTAGACTGCAGCATGGGCAAAACTACAAAGAACTTCTGGAACACAGAAGACTCCTGATAAAAGGACATGGTACAAAGTGAGGTTTCCATTTTCATGGTTTTATCTAGGAAGTAGATTCCAGAGGGAAAAGTCTTATAAGTATATCTTGGCTATAAACATTGATCTCCCTGTTTAAAGAACTGGTGTCAAGCTTCTAGCATATAACCCATACCAAAGCCAATGAGAAAAGACACATTCTAGATATGGAAAGGCCAAAGTAAGAAGGCCTTGGGTTTTCTATGTGAAGTCAATAACACCTTGAGTACTTTATGAACTAGGCATGTTTAGGCCAAACAATATGTGTGAAAAAAATAGCAAAAACATTACTGACCCCTGGGTAACACCAAGACAGAGAGAAGCCGTGTCTTTATCTCTAGTGATACTGGAATTCAAAAAATACTACTCAACATTTTATAATATAAATAAGTTAGGGACCAGGGACATGGCTCAGTGGATAAAATTCCTTGCCAAGCAAGTTCAAGGACTGGAGCTGGGTGATTAGGAATGGCGGGATACAGGCAAAAGGACACATGAGTCATAAAAGGGCTAGAAAGCTAATTTACTTTCTGAGTATCAACTCTATCTTTTTTTTTCATTTTGGAATATACAGCTTTTAATAATAAAAATCATGTAATGTCTAATAACACCTGGTGAGTTTGTTATTTTCAAATGAGCTCTAAACAACTATGAACATTTTTTTCATTTTAATTTCTTTTTTTGTCTTTAAAAAATTTTTAAAATTATTTTAAAAAACTTTTTAAATTTAATAAGCACATGATTAGAAGAAGCATTTCATTACAGCTTTAACATATTTAGTAACAATTTCCAGAGCAAGGATACATCTCTTTCAAAAGTGGCTGTAAATTTTTAGATTCACAGTTGAATTAATACAGTTATACAATATTGAGCTCAGTATAAACCCTGTAAGACATAAAATTGAGTGAGTTTTTACCCTTTAAAGAAGATCTCCATTTCATTTTAAAATATGCTGTTTCCTACATTTTTAATGCTACTAATGCTTAGATGTTTGCACATGTGTCTTTAAACTCTATGTATCTGATTTTTACTAGTCACAGTCGGTTACACTTGGATCCTTGGCACCTGAGTATGGATATAAAGTCATCAGGCAGATTTCAATGGTAATGTTTATCACCTCTATTAATTAACATGAAGTAAATTTTTATGCTTCCTCCTCAATTATGTCTTTTTTAAAAAATTTGTTGAATTTTGTGTGTGTATATCATACAGAACATCCTGCACAATCTTATTCATCTATATACCCACTTCCCAAATGACACCCTCCCATAGGCCCTCCCCCACTGGAGCCCATATACTCTGTCATCTCTGTTACTGTCTACTGTGTTGTTGGAGACCCCAGCCATTCCCCAGTGCTTGTCCATCTGCTGAATCTAGTCAGCCTATCTAGAGATTCTTGTTTTAGGAAGATCAGCTGTTCTTCATCTAGCAGCAAACAGTTAATATTCTTTTAGGAAAGATTGAGGTCTGGTGTTCATTTTCCAAGTTTTATGCTGGGTTACTGTCTGGGAGTCTTTTGGGCCACCCTGACCAACAACTCAAAGGAAGGTGTCTCCTGTCTGGCATTGTTTCTTGTTATGTAGCCTTTAGCTATACATATGGACTCTTAAAAAATTATATTGACCCCATTAAGCTTTGATTATACTTTCCTTTTGGGTGTTTAAGACCCTACAATTGGCACAGATAAACCAATTTATTTTTACTCTTATGGTCATTTGAGGATCTGTTCCTCAGGGGTCACATGGGCTGGGGGGAGCCCCTGGCTCCATTCTGTTACCAGTTCCATCTATGTGAAGATAAGTCAAAAGTCCTGCTTGACCATGGCTGGCTTTGTTTGGAAGCATGGAGGAAATGTTTCCTCTGTGTTGACCCTCCTGTTTGTAGATTGGACACTGTTTCAGGTCCATCTGGTGGGATCTCCATGGCCTCAATTCAATTGATACTGAAAGTTGAAAACCCTAAGGGAATTTCCATTGCTTCAGAATGGCTATCCTAATGATACAGACATTCACTGAAGTGTGTAGAGTTTAGAACTAGGCATGTGATTTAGTGGATTCCTTAAACTAGCTATGTGATGTTTCTATTTGTGAGCTAATTAGAATAAAGTGATTTATCTTTTTAAAAAAAGAACATATGGGGCATTGATTAAAATTAAGCAGGGTATGGAGGCACATGCCTGTAAATCCCAGCACTCAGGAGGCTGAAGCTGGAATATTGCAATTTTAGTAAAGCTTGGGCTATAGAATAAGACCAAGTCTCAAATTATAGTATTGATATGTATGTAAAGTAATATCAACATATTTGATGTAATACTAACTTGCTGAGCCGTATATTCTTTCCCAACAAAGATGAGTTGTCCAACTCAAGGAGGAGGAAAGACATCACCTAATCAGAAAGTAGGGAGGGGATGAGAGAGGTGGGAATATAGGGCTCTGGCTAATTGCTATGAATAGCAAAGCACTGGGAAGCAAAGCTAGACAGGAGATCATGTTCATGAACAGGAACAATATGAAGAAATCGATGTGCTGACAAGTCCATGAAAATCAAATCACTATGACATTTAGAAAAACATGTCAACAAATGACAAGGAAAAGAGCATAAAGTCAGAGGTTTGATCCTGGCATACCTGTGGAAAGTTAGGTCATTTGAAATTATATTACTGTGACTGCTAACAGGCTGAGGTTCCTAATGAGTACGGAAGAAACACCTCTCACCTTTGGAATGTGGTATCCTCTGAACTGAACGTCCTGAGTTGTTTCACGAGGTATGGGAATGGGGGCAAGATTAATGAATCTCTGGATCTCATGCATCACAGCATCCGTGTAGGGCATGTTGTTCTTGTCCTGCATGCAGGGGCTCCGGTGTCTGCCAATCACACGTGCAATCTCTTCCTGGACTTTAGCTGCCAATGCAGAAATCATATTTATATAAAATAAAAAAGAACAATCTTTGATTCTTGATTATTGTCACATTAATAGGTGGTAGAGAGCTGTTAAAGGCTGCCATAAGAGGAGAAAACTTAATAAATAGAACAATAGATTATGGTATTTACTTGATTCAACACAGGGAAACAAGAAGTAAGTCAAGATTTATTCAGAATGTACTACATTACTGATATACTACACTATTCAATGCATTGCTTTATAAATCCTTAAAAATAGTTCTGCTTTTTGCTTCACTGGGCATGCACAACCCACAGACCTCTCTCCCACCCACAGGCCTCTCTTCAACCTGCAGGCCCCTCTCTGGGGTAAGTCAATTGTGCCCTCCATGCCTTGACTCCCCCAGCCTCATTCACCCTCCCATCTCCCCGACTGGTCTCTCCTCCTAGCCTGGGTCCTGTCCCATTCCTTCTCTTGGTGCCCCAGATACCTGGGGAACCACCACTGCTTCCTGATCCTTTGCATCAAGACCAAACCAGTTCCTTCTCGGGTCCCCAGGAAAACTCTGGGCCTGGCCTCGCCTTCACCTCCCTCTACTTCCCTGGGCCTCTACTACCCGTCAGCCTCTTTCCTGGACCCTGGGGCTGACCTTTCCTCTTCCTGATCCTTTGCATCCAGACCAACCCAGCTTCTCAGTGCAGTCCCCAGGAGCCCTTGGGGTTGCTTCTCACCCCCATCTTCCTTGCATCTCTGGGTGGCATGGCCACCAGCTGCCCGAGACCAGCATCTTTCCTGGGCCTGCTCCCAGGCCAGTCCAACCCCCAAATTCCTGAGGGGAAAATTTTTTCTGGAGGGATCCAGACCATGGATCCTGCCTCCACTTGGTGAAGGAAGCCTGAGTGTACCTGACTGGAACCTGAATTGGGCTTCTGTGGGTACCCCTGAATAACTGATCTGAAGCCATCAGTTCCCTCCCTCCAAAATAAACCTGAGAGAACCTGAACCCTGTACCAACCAGCTATACATAACAAAGGATCTAGGCACCTGGATAATACAGACGGAACCATACTTCAACTTAATCACACAAGAATCAGAAATTACAAAAGAAATTCACATGACAAAACCACAGAGAAGAAATAATAACCTGAAAAACCAAAATAACATATCCCCAGGAAATACCAATAGTCCTCTAGAGGATCACAGTGAGAACCCCCTAGAGATAATGCAGGACATGGAACACAAAAGAACAATTATAAACATGTTAAAAGAATTCAGTGAATTTAAAGAACACACAAGCAAAGTGTGATGGCTAATGCTGGGTGTCAACTTGACTGGATCTGGGATTAACTGAAATGAGAGAGATCTTGATTGTATCATCTGAAGCTGGAAGACACGCCCTAAATGTGGGTGTTACCTTCTGATGGCAGCCCGTATAAAAGGCCATAGCAGAGGAGAATGCCTGGCTTTTTGCAGCTTGTCTTCTCTCTCCCTGGTGAGTTCATCTTGCTGCTGTAGACTGAAGACTAGCTGATCTTTTGGAATTCGTCAGACCTTCAGTGCTAGATTGTGACTACTGAGACATCCAGCCTCGTGGACTGAGTGACTACGGATTCTCAGCCTCTCCAGTGCGGTGCAGCCATTGTTGGAATACTCAGATTCTATCCTGTGAGCTAAGCTGATAAATCTCTATACATATATATTCATTCTACTGGTTCTGTTTCTTTGG